TTTAAGAAATTTAATTGGTAGAATCTCAGTAAATTAGTACGTATATAGTAAATTAGTACGTATATAATAATTTTAGTAAAAGATGTACGTAATGACTAGTATATTAGTAATTGACAAAAATATGTACGAAAATATATAGTTTAAACATTTATAATCTTTTAGATCTGCCTAGTAGTTTGTTACATCTTAAACAATCAGTTGAAATTTTTCTAACAGTATAAAAAGTTACAACAAACGTACATACGTACCTGCTAAGTCACCAGTGCATGCATAACCAAAAATATACAAATTACCAAATTTATAAACAATGACATTACGATTAACGTTAGATGGTGACAGGATATTGCTTAAAAGACTGATAAATTGGCTAAGTCATTGGCTAAGTCGTCGTCACGGTCGTTTTAAGGATTACAATGTGTAATTATTTATTATTAGTCAGACAAATAATTTATCCAGGTCATAGATGCAGACTATATAACATCGCTTAGTTATATCCTGAAAAAAGTTACACCAAACCGGTCTGTAAAATAAAGCACAATTGATCTATAACTACAATTGTGAATTTGTGTTTCAGGCGTTTACAAATAACCTACATAAACCTCAAAATTAAAGATGTCCAGTACCAGCCAAACACAAATGAATCTTTCGCAGGAACTCGAAACCTTATCATTGTCGGACAAAGAAGAAAAGTTTAGTGAATATCTTGACAAGCTAGGAACATTATCTCATGTCGAAAAAGAAGCAAAATTTAGAGAGTTTTGGGATAAAATGAGTCAATGTTTTGCTGGTACAGGTAATATACACTCTACCCACGATAACGAAAATATGACCCAATACCAGACAGATGAATATCGCAAAATGGCAATTGCAGATAAAACTTTTTCATTCGCAAAGCAGCATAAACTTGAGCACATTATTTTCTCTGATTTCACGACTTTACCCGACGGTAATGTTATTGGGTCTGGTGTAGATGGTAAACAACTTGAACAAGTTATGTGCGCCAATATTAATGTTACCACTCGTTTTACTTGTAAGAACGTCGGTGATAAGCTTTGTACAAATTGTAGAGTTATCTTTTATTGCAGCAAAGAATGTCAAAAGATGCATTGGAAGTTTCATAAAACTGAATGTAAATCTGACATCGCATCAAAAGATTGGCAACCAAACTATATTAAGGAAAAGAGAACACCATCGTTCTTTTCAGATAGTCCTTCTATGCCTTTTTTTAATCCTATGAAAAAAGTAGAATATTTATGGGGGAATATGCCAGCAATTGATATTGTTAAAATAGCTTTTAATGAACTTGCAGATGGAAAATCAAGTTTTAATAAGCCCATTAACCTTCTCTTTGCTGCAAGTGGAGATCTCAATGATATTATTACATCAATAAATGGATTACCACTCGACTTCGATCAACCAGTTAATATTTGTGTTAACGATTACGCAGAAAGGGTTGTGGTTCGAAACTTTATTATACTTTATTTGCTTGCAAAACTTGGAAAGAATGCTATTGATATCGCTATTCATATTTGGTACTCTTCAGCACTTACTGATAAACAATCAATTAAATGCCTTGAAAT